TTTCTGATGAAGGGTCTAGGCCCGAAACGTCAGCCTTTCTGCTCCTATGATGCTGCTTGGCCTGCTGTGTTCATCCAGCTCTCTAATTGTGCTCTGGCTCCTTTGCCAATCTGTCCTCTGGTGACTGATACTGCTGCAATTGAAATGGTTTCTCTGAAAGTTTTCTATCAAAACCCTGTACCTGGTTGTAAATGTATCATTGCTCCCCGTGTTGGTCTCTGCTCCGAGGAGAAAATCTCCAGTTGCCTCACCCAACCAAACTCAGTCATCCCAGGTACCATTCCAAGCAAAATGCCTCCAAACCTACTCCAAACACTTGGCCATCCTTCTGAAAGTGAAATTTGGAACGGGGCATCATACCGCAGCTGCACCTAAACAATGTTTCAGAATGGGTTCTGCTCAAAACACTAACCTCACTGTTCCTGGGATTCTTCATAATGCCTCTCCTCAATCGTCAAACCATAATGGATCATCTCCTCTCTCTCTGTGATAGATGCGTCTGTCGATTCCACCAACTTGACTAAATGCTTTTGCAGTCAATGCAACCCTACATTTACTTTATTTACGACATTTTCTTGTCATCTGCAAATTTCGAAATTATTAATCTGTACAATTTGTGACTCCTCAGATATTGAAGCAGCCCAATCCAAAATACAGCCAGACCTGGACAGTATCAGGCTTGGGCTAACAAGTGGCAAGAGACATTTGTGCCACACAAATGCCAGGCTACGACCGTCTCCAATAGGACGGAATCTAACCACGGCCCTTTGACATTCAATGGTTGTTACCATCACTGAATCCCCCACTATCAACATCATGGGGGGCATCATTGACCAGAAACACAAATGGATATAAATACAGTGGCCACAGGAATCCTGCAGTGAGTAACTCACCTCCTGACTCCTCAAAGCCTGTCCACCATCTACAAGGCACAAGGCAGGAATGTGATGGAATACTCCCCACTTGCCTGGATGAGTGCAGCTCCAGCAACACAAGAAACTTGACACCATCCAGGACAAAGCAGCCGCTTGATTGGTACCACATCCACAAGTATCCACTCCCTCCACCACCGACGCTCAGTAGCAGCAGTGTGTACCATCTACAAGATGCACTGCAGAAATTGTCCAAAGATCCTCAGACAGCACCTTCCAAACACATGACCACTTCCATCAAAAAGGACAAGGGCAGCAGATACATAGGAACACCATCCACTGTAAGTTCCCCTCCAGGCCACTCACCATCCTGCCTTGGAAATATATCGCCGTTCCTTCACTGTCGCTAGGTCAAAATCCTGGAATTCCCTCCCCAAGGGCATTGTGGGTCAACCCACAGCACATGGATTGCAGCGGTTCAAGAAGGCAGCTCACCCCCACCTTCTCAAGGGGCAACTAGGGACGGGCAATCAGTGCTGAGCCCAGCCAGATACCCACATCACATGATTGAATAAAAAGAAATCCCCAAGTCCAGCTCTTTAATCTATATCCAAGAGGTTTCATTATAATAAAAAGATAAATATTTTGAACAGAACGTAAGTCCACACTTTCAGGTGAGAGCTTTAAGTTAGCCACAGCCCATGAAACACTCACACCACTAATTACTAGCTCCCTGTGTTTACACAATCAATTCACACCCATTTCAGCTTTAATTTATCTGTCTCTGTGCCCTCTTTCCAATAGGTCTCAGATATCCCATCAAACCTAAATAGCTGATTACTAGCAAAACCTCCAAACCCTTTGAACTCACTCCAGTTTCCAATCTCACTGGATAATCCTCCATCTGAAGCATGCCTGAAGGAACAGCAGAATTTCTGAGCTTTATGATTTAAGATTTTACCCTATTCCCTCTTCAAAAGATCTCGATTAAACAATTTCTTGCCTTCTTGCCTTCGACTGGAGCTCATCTAAAACTCTTGGTCCCTATGTCCTCACTTGCATCAGGTTACCTTTCACCTACAACCTCCATTGCTTCCAAACCTACTTTGGTGCCCAGTTATGCAACACCTCGAATTTGAAATTGAAGAACTTTAAAAATCTCCATGCTCTTGCCCCTTCCTATCTCTGCAATCTCTTCCAATCCCGAGACCCTCTGATATATCAGCACTCCTCTAACTCTCGCCCCTTCAGTCTCCCTAATGTGGAAATTTCACTCTGAGTGCACGCACGCAAATGGTGGAAGTCAGCATTCTGTGAAATTGCTAACACTTAAGTAACAGAGAGTTCCCAACATTAAGCTGTTCCAAAACATTAGTTACATTCAAATCAGCCTGTCATGTGGGAGACAAGGATTTCAGGCAGTCACCCACAGAAACAGCTGGTTGAGAGTTGGATTGCAATAATGGTCAGCATACCTCAATCTGTGCAGTGTGATTCGCATAATGTGCTAAAGCTTCACTGCCTTTGTCCTGTGGCTTAGACCATAGCTTGAGCTCCTGTTGTAGCAGCTTGTTGTGTTGTGAAAGCTGGAGAGAAAAAAAAACAAAATGATATCAGCACCTTGTGTAAATCAATGTCAGACAATTACAGAATTTGTTATTACATGGAAGCTGGCCATTCAGTCCCTCGTGTCTGCATTACAGCTCCTAGTGCCACTCCCCTGCCTCCTCATCATCACCCTGCAAATTCTTCTTTTCCTCCTGATAATCTGATTTCCTGTGCCTAAACGAGATTGAGAGGCGGTTGATTACACACACAGTAAAAATGTGTTATATTTTGATCACACAAGCGTGTTGCCTGCTCCATTCTTGGCTGACATTTCATTGTAATGCTGAGGGAGTGCTGCATGGTTGGAGGAACCACCGCACGCATAAAGTCTTACGGTTCTACTCTATGGTTCTACAAGGCCCTTGCTTTGAAATTCCAAGCCTTATCTGTCAGCTGAACTGAATATAAAAAGGGCACGTGGGATTATTCAAGAGGAGCTAGGAGAGTACTCCTGATATTCTGGCCATCACTCCTCCTTCAAAGAAACCCAATCAAACCGGCAAAGTTGGTTAGCCATTTCTTTGCTATTGTGGGATCTTACTGTACATAATTCAGCAGCTGTATTTCCGTACTGAAGAACAGAGGCTGCACCTCAAAAGGGCTTCCTAAATGGCTGTGGAATGATTTGAGCTGTCTTGGGATGTAACAGATGCAATAGTGCAGCATCCAAGCTGTGTTGGTGAAGCAGGGATGTGTCTGGGCAAACAATGCCCAGGATGTGGGGATTAATTCTCACCATAGCCATGGATGGAGACACCAGGACAGTGAAGCTGCTGGATGGTCATTAAAAATGAAACGAGATCACCGATATTCTCCAGGGAAGGAAACCTGCCATTCTGGTGCCTTTGAGTCTGATTCTGGCTTTTCAACGTTTGCAGTATTTGCAAACAAGTCACTCAGTTATATCGACTTGCTCCCCGAAATTATTCAACATTGTTCACTACAGTCTCCCAGGGAAACAAGGGACAGGCATATAATGCCAATCTTATTAGTGATGCCCAGATCCCAGGAGGAATTTAAAAATCTGATGAAATAATAATCATTGTACAGGAAGAGGATCTCACTTCTCCTTCGAATCAGAAAATTGAGTCTTATCATTGTACTGAAGGCCAGCATTATTTACAATAGCATATGTTGTTGCTAATCTTCTAACATTGAGCCGAGTGAGCTCAGGATTTTCCTAGAAAATAAACATGCAATAAGCACCTGGAACGGCAAACCGTTGCTCAACAGAGAAACAGAACTCCAAGAGAAAACAGCTGGTTAAACTCTTTTTGTAATGGAATCAAAAGCCACTAGAACAACATGAAGTATGAAAGCCAGCCAGATATTAACACCGTACAGGTGAGAAACAAGAACATGTTTACATAATGCCTTCCTGATGCTTTGCACTAAATTGATATGATACTAAAAAAAAAATGCCGTGCCACCTCTCACATGTATTATCAATGTGCAACCGAGCTCTGGCCTACAGACTCCATCACAGATTCCAGCCAACTCTCCAGTGCAGTGCAGCAGGGCCTCGGCCGTCACAGGTGGCTGACTTTAAGATGTGACATTAAACTGAGACGCTGCCTGCCCTCTCAGGTGAGAGAGGGAGACTTGCAGTTATATAGCACCTTTCAGGACCACAGGATGTCCCAATGGCTGATGAAATTAAGTCATTATTATCATATATATGAGACGCAAGGGATAATTCCTTTAACCTTCTTCAATACAGTGTCAGTGGGAGATTTAGAATCACTACAGTGTGGAAAGAGGCCATTTGGCCCATCTGCACTGACCCTCTGAAGAGCATTCACTCAGACCCTGCCCATCCTCTAATCCTGTATTTTCCACGGCTAATCCACCTAGCCTGCACACCTTTGGACTGTGGGAGGAAACCGGAGCCCCCGGGGGAAACCCACGCAGACACAGGGAGAATGTGCAAACTCCACACAGACAGTCACCCGAGGGAGGAATTGAACCGGGTCCCTGGTGCTACAAGACAGCAGTGCTGACCACTGAACACTGTCACCCATTTACATTAATCTGAGATAATAGGGCCTTGTCTTAACAAGGTGTCTGAACAATGGATATGAAAAGGTTGTTATAAAGAATCCTCTGATTGAAGATCAGGGATTTCTCCCAGTGCTCAGGTCAATATTAACACTGAACCCACACATAAAGCTAATTCGAATCAAAGTACTACAGATGCTGGAAATCTGAAACTAATAGAAAGTGCAGGAGAAACTCAGCAGGATCTGAAGAAAGAAACAGAGTTAATGTTTCAAGTCTGACTTGACTCTTCTTCAGAACCGAAGACTACTATTGAACTCAAAACTTTGTTCCTCTCTCCACAAGGGCTGCCAGACCTGCTGAGTTTCTCCAGCACTTTGTTTTTAATTCCTGAAACCAATTAATCAACTAGTCAATTGCTGTCTGCAGGCTAGCTGGCATGGTTCCTACAGTACAACGATGTCTGCATGATTTCAGTAGCTGAGAAGGGTTGTGGGGTGTTGCATTATATACATTTGTTTATAAGTGCACAGTCCATGAAAGACAAGAGCTGGGTATTTGATATCCATTACTGAGAAACATGCAGAAAGACCTTCCGTTTCATCTGATACAACCCAAAATTTTTGAAGGGATACATGGTTGAGAAAGATTTAGCTGCAAGTGTTTCTAATCTATCAACATACCTGATGAGCTAAAATATAAATGTTATGGCCAACATCCTTTGGTGAGATACAGTCCTCTGAAGTCTCGTCATTATCAACCTCCTCACCTTGATTGTAAGCATTCTTTATAACATCAACCTTCAAAAGAAAAGATATTCAGCTTTGCACAGTGAAAAAGGTCCTTAAGGCTGTGCATGTTAGTGTACAGACTACAGGAAGATGTACTGTTATAAAACTGCGTCATGCTATGCAGCTCTGGGCACAATGTAAAGTGTGTGCTTCAGGTCGAGAAGTGGGTACAGGTCAGGCTGGGGAGCATGGCTAATTTCTCCGAGGGTGCGACTCAACAAATTTTGGGCATGGCCCAGATGGCCAAGGGCCCAATGTGCTGGTGAGGAAACATTTCCAATAAGGAGCTCCCCAACCACCATATCTAACTCATTGTTTTGTGGGGTGTGGACATCACTGGCAAGGCCAGCATCTCTTGAACAGAGTGGTATTTCCGAGGGCAGTTAAGAGCCTGTCACGCTGCCGAGTGTGTAAAGTCACATGGAAGCCAGACTGAGTAAGGGCTGGCAGATTTGTAATTTTATTCTGAGGATGAGTCATCTAGACTCAAAATGTTAGCTCGCTCTCTTCCCCATGGATGCTGCCTGACACGCTGAGATTCCTTAGTAAAGGTATTCAATTTTTACAATTATCCATGGTAGTTTTTCATTTGCTCATGGCATGTTGTGGGCAAAGTCAGCATTTATTGCCCAGAGGGCAGTTAAGAGTCAATTACATTGCAGTGGGTCTGGAGTCATACATTGGCCAGACCAGGTTAAGAAGGCAGTTTCCTTCCACAGAGCACATCAGTGAACCGGGTGGGCTTTTACAATAATGGACAATAATTAAATGCTCACCTGATTGTTTGCTCGCTGAGCCTGTTGTTCTGTGGCGTGCAGACATTTCGTTACCATTCTAGGCAACATCATCAGTGCTACCTCTAATCGAAGCGTTAGTATTCTGCTCCATCCGAAAGTATATGATCCTCTGGTGTGGTGGGTCTTGTCACTTCCAGTTCTGTTGTTTTAGCAGCAGTCTATATACAGGGTCTATTTCTATGTGCTTGTTAACAGAGTCCCATGGCGAGAACCAGGCCTCCAGAAATTCCCTTGCATGTCTGGTGTCGCAGTATGGTCACTTTGGCCCAGTCAAACTGACCCCATATACAGACTGCTGCTAAAAAACACAACTGGAAATGACAAGACCCACCACACCAGAGGACCACATAAATTCTGAACGGATCAGAACACCAACACTTTGATTAAAGGTTACACTGATGATGTTGCCTAGAATGATAATGAAATATCCGCACACCATGGAACAAGCAGCTCGGCGAGCTAACAAACAACTGCATCCACAACCCAAATTTTCACTCAGACCTTTCACTATTAGGCTCATTTTTTATTGAATTCAAATTTCACCATCTGCCATGGAATTCAAGCCCCTATCCCCTGAACATTAACGTTGGGTTCTGGATTGCTAGCCCAATGATATCCCAGGTTTATTAATTGAAACCAAATTCCACCCCAGCAGATGAAATCCAAACAATCAGTCTTGTGATATCCTTTAAACCTTACGTTGGAAATAGTTTTGAAACACACGGTTTTAAATGAAAGATGTGACAAAAAAAAAATAGCTTAAGATCTGAACTCATTCACTTAGACACACACACACACACAAACAAAATCATGGCCTCTTATAACCCCTAAGCTGTCACAGTCACAAACCCATCTAAATTGATTTATGACGATTGAAGACAAGCAATAATTGGACATTGCCTTTTGAGGGAAAATAGATCTTTGTAAAGCTGTGGTTAGTTGGAGATACATCAGTGAACAACACAATGTAAGATGCAGAAAAACTCCAGCATCAGCAGTTCTTACTATCTTTTAAGTTTCTTACCAGTTCTTTAGGTCGCATATTGTAGAGAATTCTTTCTGCATTTTCACTGTCATGTCTGCTTTCCATGATGGCAAGTAAAAGTTTAGAAGCATTGTTCTGTTTTAATACAAACAAATACAAGATGTTCATTAAAACAAAACCAGGCGATGCATTACTGGACAAATCAGATCCCAGAATAATATGTGGTGCGATAGATTATTTTTTCATTGAAACATGGTCACTCTAAACTGCAGAGTTTCTTTAACAACAGAACTGACATTTCTTAAACAAACGATGAAAACAAAACTGACAAAACCAAGCTGGATCAGTGCAGTCTGAAAGACCTTAAAACGCACAGCAAAACAAAGTCTCATCCCATTTTCTAACACTATCTAATGTAGAGAAATGACCTCACTGTATCAGATCTTTTCGATTGTCTTAACTGATTCTCCTCAGTTCTTTACTGTGAACTATAAAGACTTCTTGCATGAATACTCACAAAACTGAGAGCTTAGATGTTCTTGGCTTCTAAAAACCTGCAGATTTCTAACCAACCACTCCTGCTCTGGAAGTTTCATAAACTAAATTTTTCTACTGTCATTTACCGTACTTCCCCTAAACTTTACTCATTTCTAGGAGTCAAATTGTACTTACTTCTAACCTCAGTCAGGTCTCCTGCAAATGCCCTAAAACTATTATTCTCCCCTAAAATCAATCTTCAATTACTCTGAACCCAAAACAAGCTAGCAGACTTCAAAGTTAACCTCACCCATTGTAAATCACCGCAGAAAATCAATCATACACTGACCCTCCAGGAGCATCAGACACATTTCATCACTAGAGCAACTGCCATCAAAATTCATTCTGCAACCAGAGATCTATCATGAGGTTTGTAATGGTAAGTCCAAAGATACATGTTAGAATAAGGGTGGCACGGTGGTTAGTACTGCTGCCTCACAGTGCCAGGGACCTGGGTTCGATTCCAGCCTCAGGTGATTGTCTGTGTGGAGTTTACACACTCTCCCTGTGTCTGCTTGGGTTTCCTCAGGTGCTCTAGTTTCCTCCCACAGTCCAAAGGTCATTTGGCCATGCTATATTACCCTGTAGTGTCCAGGGATGTGTAGGTTAGGTGTGTTAGCCATGAGAAAGGCAGGGTTATAGGGACAGGGTCGTGGGATGGGCCTGGGTGGGATGATCTTCAGAGACTCGGTGTGGACTTGTTGGGCCAAATGGGCTGTTTCCACACCATAGGGATTCTATAAATAAAATGGGATTATTACATCCAGTTCATTGGAGGGGAACTGATTACAAACAGACCGAGGATATGCTTCACTTTACACAGGACTGGCGAGAACACAGTTGAGTACTGTGTACAGAATTGGTCACATTTTATTTAGGGAAGAATGCAAATGTATTGGAAGCAGTTCAGAGAAGGTTTACCAGATTAATACCTTGAATGGATGAATTGTTATGAAGATAAATTAGACAATCTAGGCTTATATCTGCTGGTATTTACAAGAGTAAAAGGTGACTTGATTGAACCATATAAGATCCTGAGGGGCCTTAACAGGATTTAATTTGATTTACCGTCACATGTACCACGATACAGTGAAAAGTATTGTTCTGCATGCTATCCAGGCAAATCATACCTAACATATGAACATTAGGGTAACAGAATGCAGAATATATAGTGTTACAGGTGCAGAGAAGGTGAGAGAAAGATCAACCTTAATCGTTCAAAAGTCTGATAACAGCAGACATGTGTAGAGGAGGTTTCCTGTTGTTGGAGCAGGGCTCTTGTGGCTAAGCAGTAATGTCCCTTACCTCTGAGCCAGGAAACATGGGTTCAAGTCCCACCTGATTCCAGAGACATGTAATAACATCTCTGAACAGATCGATTCAAAAGTAGAATTAATAGAACTGGTTGCAGAATAAATACTAGCTACGGATGTGGGGAGAATTCATCTGGTTTTCTTTCAAATAATACTATGGCATCTTTTATGCCCAATTAAACATCGTTTGACCATAAATAAGGACCTTTTGGTGTGTTTATTTCAAGTATGCATGCACTAGATTATGCAAAAGCCTTTTTTTTGAGACGTAGTATTTGATATAACAAATGGTTTGTCTGCAAGTATTGTCCAATACCAACAATCAGAAATGTACACGCAGAAGGCAAAGAAAGGCCAAGATATTGTCTCTTTGCAATTTTCTTTCAAATTATTTGAAATGAGTCAATAATCCCCCTCATCAGACTGACAAAAACAGAATAAATTCTTTATAAAAAACACTAAATTAACTAAAGGTCTTGACAATCTTACCTTTAGTTGTAAGACAAGGTCAATTCGGTACTTGCTGAGAGGGTTAATGTCATTCAGGATCAGTGCGATAATGATGTCAATTCCGTTACATTCATGGGTGGTGATGCAGGTCTGTGTGAGACAATGAAAAACAGGCAAACTTCATTGCTCAGGGTGTTTACTGCTGAACAGAAGGAGAGGCAAAACTTGGGTGTTGCACAGAATTCTGTAGCCTACAGCTACACAAAAAAGGCTGTACACACTACAGTGTAAACTATGTTGGTCCATTAGCAACTCACATGACTGTTTTGAATGTGAAGCTCGACAAGATGGTGAAATTGCAACCGAATCACCAAAATTGTAATGGTGCAGAAACAGTGCATTTGGCCCATCACGTCTACACTGGCTTTTCAAATTAGCATCAGCACCAAGTGCCAATCTCCTGCTTTTGCCTCGTATCGCTGAACATTATTTCCCACCCAAACAATCAGCCAATGCCCTCCTGAATGCCTCATAATCAGAGAGTTTCCATCTCTTAATCATGTCCTCTTCCTCTTTGGTAAAGACATTTGGCAAAGTATTCATTTAATGCCTCAGTCACGCCCCTTCTCCATGTGTAAATTGCCCTTCTGGTTTCTAATCAGTTCTGCTTTGCTCAGTTGCTGTTTTTCCCACTAACCTTTTGTTCGAGTCAATCCTGCCCAGTTCTGCTCTTGCTCTGGTGAAGTCTGCTCTCCGCCAATCAGTTTTTCTGCACATCATTCTCCAACACCATCCAGAACCTTATGATATAGTGATCGCTGTCTCCTAAATGTTCCCTATTGACACTTGTTATTTGTAAGAACCAGATCCAACAATGCGTCCTTCCTTATTGGACTAGACACGTACTGCTGTTGGAAACTCTTCTGAGCATAAGGTAGGACTCAAGCCTCTTGGTGCCCATTACATTACCAGTATCCCAGTCTATATTAGGGCAATTGAAGTCCCCCATTATAATGACTAGCAAGTTGGCATCTCACTGTAGCTTCCCTGTAGATTTGTTGTTGTACATCCTTCCCACTAGTTGGTGGTCTACAGACTGCATCTAGAAATATAACTTTACCCTTTTTGTTCTTTAGCTCCAGCTAAATTGATTCTGGAGTTGAACCCTTGAGATATCCGTTTACCCCAGCGCAGTACAATAGGACATCATGAGCAAACAGAGTTTGTTTTGCACTGCACTGAAATTTTGCTTTAACCTCAGGGGTCAGTTGATTCAGCACCAAACAAAACCACTCCCATGTGCGAGGTGTGTAATTTCGAAATCAGTTCAGGGCAGACAGACCACTCTATAATCTTAGAAGCCATGTCAGTCTCCTGCTGCCCCTCTCCAATAATTCCCCTTTCCCAACGCTTCATGAGATGCTTGGTCTCTGATCTTCCAGTTTCCTAAACCAGAATGATAAAGAAAGGCAACTGATTTTGCCCAAGTTATCAATATCAGACAGTGGGAGTCAGGGGCTGGTTCTAGGTGGAGTTGGAACCTACTCATTGGGAATGAGTTAGGGAATCTTGAATTGGAACTTCCCACCTTGCATCCTGCACTGGCCCATGGTCCACTTTACCATTGTCCGAGGCTGGCCCTGAAAACAGTTGGGGGTCTGGTAAGGTACACCGATCCAAATCCACTTCTGCTTAAAAGGGCCTCAGTTGGTTTTGAACAAGGGCTGAAGAGGGGATAGAGGTCCAAAACTCCCACCTCCCTTCACTCAGATTGATGCTGGTCACCAATGACATGGGTGTCCAAGAAGCTGCCTAAGTTAATAGCCATCCATAACTCCAGGCTTAACTATGCAAAGAAGCTTCCCCGCTGAGCCTCTCACCCTCAGCTACCTGTACCCTAACTCACACCGAGTCATTCACCCATCACCCCCATGCTTGCTCACCTACAGCAGTCTTACCAGTGGAACATTGTATCAATTAGTTCTGATCCACATTGAGTAGTCAATGGTGTCCAGAGGCCAAGTGGTACAATAGTTCAAACGTGACAAATACATTAACGTTGGATGAGAATCAATTGACGGGCACTGATTCCTGGGACTGTACCTGATTCTCATGGCATGGTCCTTGGCAATACTCAGTCAGCGTCTCCAAAGTCTGGTTGACAAGTGAGACATTTTTCTCATTAATGTAGAGCCCCAGCAAGCCAAGTCCTCCTGTGGTGCTGCCGCAGATACAGTCCATAAACTGCAGCGTTTCACACACCAAGTTGTAATTGGTTTTGTTGTTTTGGTGCCGGAGAAAATTCTAGAGGGATGACAGACGTGAAAATGATCAATCATCAGTAAGAGGAGCAATCAGATCCCACTGATCTCTTCAAAGAGAGAGATTTCAAATGTAATCCATACAAGTAATCAAGTTAGGGGCTACACTTAATCAAGTCCACTCCACCATTCAATAAGATCTGACACAGGCTGCAAATCCATATTCAAGCCTACCCCCTCATTCCACTGACTCCCTTTCATCGTCAAGGGAGTATCCACCTCTGCCTTAGAATTATTCAATGATCCCGCCTCCCCCACTCTCTGGGGGAGAAGGATTCAAAGGCTCATGATCCTTAGAAAGAAAAATTATGCTCATCTCCAGGGAGAGAGAGAGAGAGAGAGAAACGATTGGTGGAGGTTTAACCGGAGGGTCACCATTCCTCAGGTGAGGGGAGAGGTTGAGAAGGAGAGTCCTTCCTGGTAACCTCAGCTGGTGCTGGGAATTGAACTCCTGCTGTTGGCATCACTCTGCATCACAAACTAGTCATCCAGCCAACTGAGCTAACCCAACCCACTACAATGCCAAACGAACATGGAACAGGGGTAGGCCACTCAGCCCTTCGAGCCATTCGTGGGTGATCTGACTTTAACCTCAACTCTACATTCCTGTATATCCTTGATAATCCTTTATTCTACTTGGAAATCAAGAATCCACCTTAAAAATACATAAAGATTCCGTACCCACTGCCTTCTGAGGAAGGAACTCCGAACCCTCAGTGAAGAGCTTCTCAGAAAAAAAATTCAACTCTCTGCATAAAGTTTGCATTGCACTTTTTGAGGCTAATCATTGAGATTAACTCTTACAAACAAAAACAGAAATCGGTGGAGAAACTTCAGGAGAAGGGCCACTGGACTGGAGACGGTAATTCTGCTTTCTCTCCACAGATGCCGCCAGACCTGCCGAGTTTCTCCAGCAATTTCTGTCGGTGTTTGTTTCAGATCTCCAGCGTCCCACAGTACCTTACTTTGGAGATTAATCCCTAACTGCCCACCAAAGTGGTTTAGCCAGTCGGTGAGTCACAGTGAAGCTGCTAGCAGCTGGTTATGTAGAAGGCTTAGTTGTTTTAAATCAATATTAATTTGTATCAATTTCAAAATGTTGGTACCAGCAGAGTTTGATGTTTAGATTTAGGGATTTAGTGGCTAATGATGAAAGAGTACCAAGAAAGATCTTTTCCAATCCTGCAGGTATGTGAACAGAAATCTCAGCGAGAACTTCCAAAGCAGGATTTGGAACAGGAGGACGTCATTCAGGTCCCTATCCCTGCTCACCCTTCAAACTGATGTGCAACTCAAGACTATTGCCACATCTCACCAACAACATACTGCCTAACCTGACATTTCGCTTTTTAAGCACGTACAGCAAGTAGCGCAGGGTAGTTTTACTCAGCACAGCCGAGCCAGTTTCCTTTCTCAATGTCCACCAGGACCTGGAGTGCTCGAGCTTGGCTGGGGGTGACCTTACCTGTAGTTCTGTGTTATGGTTCTCACAGAGCAGCTGCAGGAACCGGAGAATGGGCTCCATGATAGCGATCGCAGGGCTCATGACCTCTTCCTCGCTAGACTTCTCCTCCGACGCGATGCCCTCACTCCCTACAGGCAAAAGATCAGCCTCGGGATCCATCTCCCTCCTGTACATATAATAGGCCTTGTATGTGGCAACTGAGGCCTCTGCCAATTGGCCTTTCATTCCCTCCTTAAGGTGGTATGATGGATCCTTCACTAAGAGACATGAAAAGATGGTTTGCTTTGTAATGGGTTGGATGTATAATTCTCTATAACCTCCCGTTTGCACGACCTCGGCAGCATGTTAAGATGCACTTTGTGAAATCTCTAGGGTCCCTTAGATGCCCTGAACTTGACCTCGACAATGGTCGGGGGGAGCTTGGGGATGGGAATCAACCAGGGAGCTGGATGTCAAACCCGGGAGGAGATCCAGGAGTATGGTTCCAAAGATGTGGAATTTCAGTGACGTGGACAGACGGGAAGAGGTGGGAGATCTTTTTCTGTAGGGAACAGAAGGGAATTTTGATCGAGGTATACAAAATCCCAAGAGGACCGGACAGAGGTGATAGGGAGAGATCTTTTCCTGTTGGTGAGAGGACTGGGAATAAGAGGGCCTAGATTTAAGGCGATTGGCAAAAAGTAATAGCGACATGAGGAAAATCCTCTTCCCCACTCAGGGGCTGGGATCTGGAACACACAACTGGACAGTGTGGTGGAGGACAGGGTCGACTGAGGGGGGGAAAGATCAGACATTTGTCTGAAAAGTGTACACAGGATCACAGGGAGAAGGTGTGGGAATGGCACTAGATGAATTGCTCACCTTGTGATTCAACACGATGGGATTGGATGGCCTCTTTCTATGCTGTACCTGTTGCAAGATGTGGGGTCGGTTCATTGCCTGGGCAGCTGGTCACAGTGTGAGCACACTGCAGACTTCTGACCTAAAGTAGCAACCTGTGGTCCTCTTGGTGTCACGTCGGCCCAGTTTCCACAAGCTCTTTAGCTACCTGCCTCTCACCCCCTTCACCATCACCATATTGCTGTTAATGGGCATTAATAAAAAACCATTTGACACCCTCACCTCCAAACGGACTCCAGGAAAAGAGAATGAGAATCAACACCGTAAAGAATTACCTCAGAATCTCAGCACTTTGCATTTAGAATCACAAAGTAGTCACAGAATGGTGACAGCACAGAGGAAGGTCATTCAGCCCATCACATCTGTACTGGCTCTCGGCCTGATCAATTCACCTGGTCCCATTTCCTCAGATCCAAACCACACTCTGTGTTAAACAATGTCACTGTTGCTACTTCTCACCAATCACCGTAAATCAGTGTCCTCTGCTTCTCAATCCTTTTCATTGAGAACAATTTCTACCCTGTCTGGACCCCACATAATTTTGGACACCCCTCTCCTCCTGTGGAGGGACAGTCTCATCTTCTGTTTATCTCTGGGAATAGGCTAAACCCCTCGATTGCTCATTTCAGATTCGCCCTGCAACAAAGCAGGTTGTTTCTGAACCTCAAAGGCCATG